CCATCTCTTACCAAGAGCTTCATTTAAGATGTAGAGATAAAAACTGCCCATTAGTTTAATGATAATAATGAACGTTGTACCATGATCAATAAGTCAACTTTCTCGGTTGGTTACTTAAACAAGGGACACATTTTTAAAATTAGAAACAAAATAAACCTCTAAATTAAGTTGAATAACAAAATTTAAAAAAAGAAGATTTGTTTGTTTGTTGAACTTAGATACTGGTGGATGAAAAAGTGAAATAGCGGTAAGGTTTTTAATGTTCATTATTTATCACAGAGGATGTAAATGATGTGGTGAACTCTGAAATGAAAAATATTTGAACTGAACTGAACTATGAATTAGTTATAAATATCTAACAGCGAAATGAAATTAACAAAATATTTACCCATTCTTTTACAAACAAACTAATGAAACTCAATGTGAGCGCAATCAGTGAATTTTTGATAAAAGCGAAAATGTTACGATACAAAAATGATGATCCCATTCATTTATTTATTCAAATTCACTCCTCAACATTCCTCTGAAGATATTCTCTCAAGTATTTCTCAAAGATATCAACAACAAACTTACAAAGTATGAGAAGCCGGTGAATCAACGCAGCACAAACTTCGCTTGTGACAGGCGGGGATATCTTTGCATTTGAAGGCAGTCGCTGCGACATCCTCATTAGTGCCAGGCAGCTTAACCATTAACACTACAGCGCAGTTTTATTTAAACATTAGCAAAACTCAAGAAAAATAGTAGGCAATTGCAGTTCACTCCGAGTGTGGTGTATTCTGAAGAAACACTCCACGATGCATCTGCCTACGTGTAATTATAACGAAACCGAACGAAAAGGTAAAGTTTAAAAACTGAACTGCTCACAAATGTCACAATGTGACACGTTAGACATTATATTGTAACGCCGTAATACTTAATTAGTAAGCATGCGACCATAAACAGACAAACAGCAACGACAAGCAAAACTTAAGCAAATATATCCGAAATATCTAATTAACATAACACACATGGCAAATATTATCTGAAGAAAATGTGGAAAATCTAAATGAAAAAAAAACCAGCATGATGAAAGTGCTACTGGGTACGATTACGCTTGTGACGATGAAAACAAAAATGATGAGTAAGTTGATGATGACTGACTGAGTGTTGTTCATTTTGATGTTCATTCCGCTAATTAATAAATCAATCTTCGTTTTGATTCTGCTAATTAATAAATCTTGAAAATTTGGTGATAACTACGAGGTTATTAATGACGATGACGATACGACGATGATGATGACAATGATGGTGATGACTAGATGTTGAAAAGAAAATCAGACATAAGGCAAGGGGCAAATGTAGAGTGCGACACAGGTGATGATGAAGATGGTGATGCACGAACAGGCGATCACGTGATCTTGAAAAGTTGGATTATGGTGACTGTGATGATTATTATTATCGTGATGATCGTTATCACCATTATTTTTCAATGTATTGTTTATCTTGTTGAACCTACAAACTGTTGGACGTGAAGAGCCATTCATCATGAATGTTGTTGTTGATGTTGCTGTCGAAGCTGCAGACATTAACGAAGACGACGATGTAGATTCAAATTGATAGTTGAGAGACAGGTAGGCATGAAGCAAAGATGTGACCAAGAAAAATATTTTCTCCATCTCCATGCCCAAGACTGCTTCCACCCATGAATGGAAAGATGACGATGTAGTTGACGGTAAAGATGATGATGATGATGGTGTAGAGAATGGTGATGATGATTGTACCTGATAGAATGAATGTAGTTTGTTGCTCAGGAGCACTAAAATTTCCCCATCAAGAAAGTACAAAAACTTATTTGCTTTGCTAGCAATAATGTATGCAGAATTAATGTGCTGCGAACAATAAATGATGCAATTCCTTTTCAGCATTGGAAATGTTGAGTTAAGCTAAAAATTTGGACATATATTAGTACTAACAAATAATAAGTGGATTAGTGTGAAAATATTAGAAATAAAATTTTAAGATGAATCTTAACTAATTGTTCTATTCTATTCTATTACGTTGTGTTTAATAAATAAAATCAATTGAAATTAATGAAAAGAAAACACAAATAAGCCGAATATATGCAAAAGATTGAAGCATCAGTATATGGTTGCAATGAAATTACATGTAACACAAATCAGCAAAAACATATAGCACGAAATAAACAACAATAAAATACAACAACATCACACTTTGAACATGAGAGGAATAACACGAGAACGACAATAACTCGTATTAAATATGCAATAAACAAAAAAGTAGCAGACAAACAACTGAACGTTCGTTCCCAATAACAGACAAACAGACAGATTGATAGATAGATAGACAGAAAATCACAAAAAGACAATACAAACATTGTTACAGATACAATCATTGCTATACATATTTATTTATTTTATTTACTTATTTATTTATTACAATTATCTTTTCATTCTTTTTCAGAGGCATCAAAAACAAACCCACACGCATCAAATGTGAAAGGCGGAGCTCTCTTTGCAATCGAATCAGGTCACGGCAACAGCAGTGTCAGGCACGTTAACGTTACACCATCGCGTCCCCAAACACTGTTACACACAAACAACGTTTAAACAAACATACAAATAACTACGCTACCACAAACCTCCCCCCGACAAATCTTTTGGCAAACAAGTAAGAACTTCTCAACGTTCTTCCGACATTTGGCTTCAGATAATTTCTTGAAAAAATTTGATTTATAAAAATATCACGCTAGTAACATGAATGAAATGAACAAAATATATATATATATATTAGGGCTGTACCGAAATTCGGCTTCGGCCGAAATTCGGCCATTTTTCCAAATTCGGCTACGGCTCCGGCCAAATTTTGGCCGGATTTCCGAATTTTGTAGCATATAGGCTCAAAAAATTCGTCCTAAGATTCAGCGAAAACATGAACTAAAAAAATTTTTTTAAAACTATGAGCAAATACAGCAAATTAGTATGCACCCGAAAGTTGTTTTCACGCTACAGGAAGTTTCAAAAGTAAACATCTCTGTTGTTTATAAAAACGTGAAAAACGTAAACGTCGATTTATTTATATTTCATATTTCAACAGGACTCAAACGTCTCTCTTCCTCCATTCTAATTACGGCCATTTTGTCGAAATCAGTAAATAACATGAAAGATAGAGGAAAAACAAGTATAGCGTGAGAGTATTTTAGTGTACAGCCTGATGATGCATCCAAATGCCAGTGCTTGTTGTGTCCCAGTGTTATTTCACGTGGCGGAAAAGCAAAAGAGGTGAAGAAGTTTTCCACTTCAGCGTTGCTAACACACCTTCGCACGAAACACCAGAAAGAATATGATGAAATGCAAAAACAAGTGGAAGAAGCCAAAACTTGTACAGTGTCACAGAATGTCCCCGCACTTGTCCCAAAAAAAGTCTCTTCATCTTCAATACAGCCTACTATGATAGAGCAGGTTGAACGACAAAAAGTTTGGGACATAAATAGCACCTCTGCTTTCAAGATTCATCGAGCTATTGGTAAAATGATTATCACTCATCTTGAACTATACAGCGTAGTTGAAAAAGAAAGTAAACTAATAATTGCTTTATCCTGCACCTGCATCATTTTACATTATTAATTTGTTTAAAAAAATTTTATGCCAAATTATACAATTTATTTAAAGTGAAAAAATTATTGTAAATTTTTTACAGGGTTTGTTTCCCTAATGAGTGTTGTGGAGAAACGTTATAAAGTGCCAAGCAGAAAATATTTTGCTGAGAACATATTACCAAATATGCATGATGAAATTTGTAACCAGTTGAATATAATGCTGGAGACTGACAATGCAGAAAACTTGTCCTTCACTACTGATACATGGACAGCAGATAATAATGTGCAACCGTACATGGGTTTGACTGTCCATTGGATCACAGAAGAATTTGAAAATGGAAGCTATGTGTTAGATTGCAAACCATTTAATGGACATCACACAGCAAAAGGTCTGCTGGCGGCTTTCAAGCAAATATTGGAAAAGTGGTCAATTGATGTCAGTCGAATTCATGTTGTACTTCGTGACAATGCTGCAAATATATCTAAATGTTTCCGTGATGCCAATATTTCAAGTGTTGGTTGCTTTGCACACACTCTCCAGCTATGCATTCATGATGGTCTTTTCAACCAAAAAGAAGTTTCAGAAATTTTAAACATTTCAAAAAAACTTGTTGGACATTTCAAACACTCCTCCTCTGCTACTGGTCGTTTAAAAGAAATACAGGTACTTGTAATATGTATATTTTTTTTATTATTTTTTTTAATTTAAATTTTTTTTAAATTTCTTGTCATAATTTATTTTAATTATTATTGTTTGATTTTTTAAAAAAAGGATTCATTGCTTATATTTTCTTTCACAGAATGAACTTGGTTTACCAAACCACCAGTTGATACAGGATGTCAGAACAAGATGGAACTCGACATTCTACATGCTACAGCGTCTGTGCGAACAAAGACGTGCACTGATCTTGTACTGCTCGGAAGTGGAAGGTACTTCTTGTTTGACTGTACACCAGTGGAACATCGCAGAGAATATTGCATCAGTTTTGGGTCCTTTTGAAGATGTAACACGTGAGATTAGCTCTGGAGAATCTCGAATATCATTAGTTTCACCTCTTGTCACTGTATTGCGTAATTTGTTAAAAAAAGATGGCAATGACATAGAAGTCAAGGCACTTAAGGAGTCGTTGTTGAATTCTTTAAATGAACGATTTGGAAGTTTGGAACATGATCATCTGTACATAGTAGCAACGTTGATTGATCCTCGTTTCAAAAACAAATTTTTCAATACAAATGTCTTCTCAGCAGCAAAATTTGTTCTCGTGCTGGCAAATGGCAAAATAAAAACAATGTTCAACAAGACCAAATTTTAGCTAATATAGAAGCAGATGCAAAAGAAAAATCAACTGTAGCTAAACGAATAACATTAGAAAAGGATCATACTTCTGCGCTGTGGGACTGTATGGAAGAAATTGTGCAATCTTCTGAAGCAAATATACAACAACAAGTAGCTGAAACAATTGAGAGTGAGGTTGACAAATATTTGTTGGAACCTCTATTACCAAGAACTGAAAATCCTTTGCTTTGGTGGAAAATGAATCATAAAAGGTTTCCTAGCTTGGCTGCAGTTGCCCGAGTATACTTGAGTGCCCCGCCAACTAGTGTACCATCTGAGCGCCTTTTCAGTGTAGCAGGTGAAGTGATCAGTGATCATCGTAGTTCACTTCTTCCAGAAAATGCTTCTAAACTTATTTTTTTTAAATATAACAAGAATCTGATTTAAAATGATTAACAATTTATTTTAAAAATAATGGTTCCAGCTATTTGCATTTTTATGTTTTTATTAATTTTTCTGTTTAATAAATAACTCAAGAAATCTATACTGTGTTTATTTATAATATCATGTTAATTCAAATGTCTGCTTAATTTTTTTTTTAATTTATGTTTGTTTTTTAAATTGGCAGCTACAATAAACTTGAAAAATAACAGATTTGAATAGTTTATAATTCAATGTGATATTTGCTTCACATGCTAAGTTTTACAAGGTGATCGACTAAGTCAAAATGAATCATGAACGAGTCATTGTTAACTAATGTTCAAATTCGGCTTCGGCCGAATTTGACATTCAAATTCGGATCCGACTTCGGCTCCGGCCGAATTTGATATTTCAAATTCGGTACAGCCCTAATATATATATAATTATATATATAGGATTCAGACTATATATACTATATATATACAAATATATATAATATACATATATACTATACACACACACACACACACACACACACACACACATATATATATATATATATATATTTGTCAAAACTATATATATTGTAAATATATATAGTTTTGGGACCCGTTCTTTTTCTCCTGTACACGTCGGAAATTACCAAAATAATCAGCTCCTACGGATATGTCTGCCATGCATTTGCAGATGATATTCAGGTGCTGGTTACTAGTTCTCCTTGTTTGTTCAAAACTGAAGTTGAGAGATTTATCGGATGTTTATCAGAGGTAGGACGTTGGATGTCATCAAACTCGTTAAAACTAAACAAATGCAAAACTCAATTACTTCCGGTTGGAACGTGGCTGCAATTGCTGAAAATTGATTTTAGTTCTGTTAAAATAGGAGATGTTGATATACCATTAGCTGATACTGCTTCCAACCTGGGTGTTTTGCTTGACAACAAGTTATCAATGAAAAATCACATCAAAAAGATCTGTACATCAAGTCTTATCCACCTTAGAAGCATGTATAAAATTCGACATTCGTTGGATAGACCTACTTTGGAAACGTTGGTCCACGCCTTCATCACATCTCGTTTGGACTACTGCAACAGTTTGTTCTACAAATTGCCGGAATCATCAGTTGCCGTCCTTCAGTCGGTGCAGAACAGAGCTGCAAAACTCGTTGCTGGTGGTTTGAAGTATGATCACGTGACACCGATTTTGAATGAACTACACTGGTTGACAATTAACAAAAGGATAGTCTTTAAAATTGCAGTTCTCATGTTCAAGTCAATAAATGACATGTCACCTGAATACATGAAAAATAAATTTACCAGAAAACAAACAGCATCATCTTCCTATCTCAGGTCGGATGATTTGAATCTGCTAAGGGTGCCAGTCACGCGTTTGCAAATTGGTTCTAAGGACATTGCCGTGGCTGGTCCCTCTGTTTGGAATAACCTTCCACCTATGTTAAGAAGATCGGGAACTTCTCTGGATTTATTTAAAAAAGAACTAAAGACATTTTTATTTTCTGTGAAATTGTAAAATTTGTTACTTTGATTTTCGTTTCATGAACAGTCGCATATAACATTTTGTTTTGTTTTTGAGAGAACGCTTATGAAATTGTTTAATTAGCGTTTAATAAATGTTTCTTAATAATATATATATATATATATATATATATATATATATATATATATATATATATATATATATATATATATGTAGGATTCAGACTAACAGATAAACAGTTGTTTATGTAAGTCACGACATTTTCCGTTAAGCAACGCCTAAAAAACAATATATAATATAAATAATATAATATATATCTATATAAATAAAATTATTATCCAAGTCTATCATGAAAATTTAATAAAACTACTGTTATCTAAATTCATCATGCCATTCTATTTTCAAAAAATTGAACAATTTCCAGAAAATTCTAGTAAGGAAAATTGAAAAGACAAACTTTAAATTGATTAAGGCCAACAATTCGGTAGAACTCATACAATACCGTATGTGTGTGTATATATATATATATATATATATATATATATATATATATATATATATATATATATATCATAGACGTCTTAAATGAAGGACTGACGGCGGCAGTGCTCGGTTGCGCAAACTTGGGGTCTATCATTATTTTTATTATTTTTATGTATTTAGAATAATAATAAGTGAGCGAATTTCGTTATTTTGCGACTGAACAACGGTCACGAACTGTGTTATCACCAAAACAGCAAATGATCAGTGACTTAATGAGTCGTAGTGTAAACGACAGCAACTTGAATACTGCTTTTAAAGAACTTAAACCTGAAAAGCGTCTTATTAACATATTGTATGACGAAGTTCAACTCAAGAGTGTCCTCCGTTTCACAGCTGGCCATGTTGTTGGACATGCTGAAAATCAGCCAGAAAAATTAACTACTTCAGCACTAGCTTTTGAGCTGGTTTGTCATTATGGCGGACCACGATTTACTATTCGTATTACTGATGCAAACTCATTGAAGGAGTACCTGTTAGAAGTTATTACAACAATCAAATACTGCGGTGGTCGACCTATATCAATAATCTGTGACAACTGCCCATTAAATCAGCGGATGTACAAGAACCAACTGCCCAGGTATTGTTCAAGTGCCAGGCGACACATTGGTATATGGTTTATGACTATATCCACATTTTTAAAAATGTCAGAAATAACTGGATAACAGAGCCGCAACAGGACCTTATTTTCCAATTTAGTGGAAAAGAGTACAAAGCCTGCTAGAAAGATATTATCTATCTGTATAAAATCGACAGCAAGACGCCCTTAGGAATGACGAAATTGACACAAACTGCTGTATTTCCCAAGGTTCAGCAAAGACAGAGTGTTCCACTTGTGTGCCAGGTGTTTGATAATAAGACTGTAGCAGCCTTTGAAATGGACAATTTAGAATTTCAACCAGGCACAGTCGAATTTGTCAAGTTAATAACAAGTTGGTTCAAAATGATGAACGTCAAAGATAGATATAGCTACTTTAAACTCAAAGATGACAAACGAGAACCCTGGAAGTTTAATTACGAAAGTTTCAAAAAGTTGGAGTTCATTTGCAATGTTGTCAGTACGCGGCAAGATACTGGAAAACGATGTCATAAGCTGACCAAGTTCACTGCCGATGCCTTCGTGGTAACTACAAAATTCAACATAGCTGCTTCAACCGAACTTCTCAGTGACCATAATTTCAGGTACGTTCTTCCAGCTGTCTTTTCCCAAGATCCACGAGAGAAGTTCTTCAGGCAAGCGAGACAGCGTTTTGGAGGTAATTTTTACATAGATATCAGTGATGTCATAGTTGCCGCCAACCAATGTACAACGACTCCATCAGTTATTGAAACTGGATATCATTCCTAAGGACGATGCACAACGTACATGCATTAACTGTACAGCAACACCGGATGAACAAGACTTGGAGATGCTGCAGGATATAACAACTGAAAACACTGAAAATTTGATACAGTCCAACAATTGTCTGAAAGACAAGATCATTTTTGTTGCGGACTTCTTAACACGCCAGTATCACCCACATTTAGGCAACGATGATGCTGATGATGCACAAGACTTTACTGTATCCAGTGACTACACTTATCATTTCTAAAGTTATCAACTGTTTACCTTGTTCACAATGCTATTCACGCAACCAGTAAATTTATTTTACCAAAATGCATTTTAAAAATATTTAAATATTTATACGTAGAAACATTTTTGTATTTTTTAAATCCTTTACCAAAAACCAAACATTTTTTCGCAAATACTAAATCATCAATATATAATTAATATGCCTAACGAGCATATTAATTTTCCAAAAAATTTGTAATCATTTATTTGTCGTTTAAAAAAAAAATAGTTTTTACAATAATATTCTTTTTATTATTGCTTTCTATGTTGTTGCTATTGTTCAGTTAAAGAGGAAGAAACAGAAATAAAATGTACAAAATGTGTTCATGTTGTTTGTGGCAACCTATGTTTAAAATTTGATAACAAATGGTCCACTTTTGACAAAGTTACAGCAAAAAGTACTGAAAATACTGATGGACCCAAGATTGACCCGGATCCTATATCATATATATATATCAAAGAAATATATATATATATATATATATATATATATATATATATGTATATGTGTGTGTGTGTGTGTGTGTGTGTGTGTGTGTGTGTGTGTGTGTGTGTGGCAACCTATGTTTAAAATTTGATAACAAATGGACCACTTTTGAAAAAGTAACAGCAGAATGCAGCACAAATGTTTGAAGATTGGAACACCAGACTCGCCGATCATGTTTTCAAAGTCAACTTCAGTTTGTAAAGCTGGTATAAGTAACAATTCAATCAAGTGTCAGCAGTGTAACCAGTGGTGTCACAAACGTTGTTCAAAAATAATTGGTACTTTATATAAAGTGTCCAATTTTGTTTGTCCTGCTTGCATCAATCCACAACAACAAATACGAAATAGCAATGTTTTTGAAGCCATTAAGGTAGAGAAAGTCACATCGTTTCAATATCTAGGGGATGTTCAGGACCGGACTGGAACAGCTGAAGCTGCCGTTCGAGCACGCATACGTGCAGCCTGGAATAAATGGCATCTCCTTGCCTCTATATTGATGCGGCGTGACATGCCACTACCACTACGATCAAGACTTTATAAATCTGTGATACGTCCGGTCTTGTTATATGGTGCAGAAACATGGCCAATGACAACCAAACTGGAACAACAACTTCAACGAACCGACATGAAAATGGTCAGATGGATGCAACGAATTAGTCTGAAGGACCACATCAAATCTACCGAAATCCTGCGTCGTGCCGGCAACACCGTCTGGAATGGTTGGGTCATGTCAAACGAAGTGAAAACAGTGCCATAACTTCTCTTGCAGATTTGCAGATGTTGAAGTACCTGGCACATATCCCAAAGGCCGTTCAAAGAAGTCCTGGTCGCAAACTATCAAGCAAGGCATGAAAGATCTAAATTTAAATGAAATGGATACATATGATTGTCTAATTTGGCGCAAAAAGTTGATGGCAATGAAAACAACGTCCTACCTCGGGGAACTGGGTCTCTGGACGCTAAACGAAGATTGATTGATATATATATATATATATATATATATATATAGATTGATTGATATATAATACATATACACACACACACACATGTATATATATATATATATATATATATATATATATATATATATATATATATATTGTTAAATTTATATGCCCATTCTGCATTTAGTAGTTTTTTAAAGACAACTTC